AAAGTGCTGTTTTAAAAACTGATTCCCAGAAGTAAACAGTCACATCTGTGTATTTAATACTGTCTGGTCCAATCCTCAGGCCTTTTTTCTGAGTAGGCCTAGCCTCCTAATCCACTTTTGTTTTCCTTCCATGCTGAGTGGAAAGATACTGGCTCATTATTCATGAAAAGCTAAGTCTGATTTTGTTACCTTGCTCCTTACAGCCATGCAAAGCTGATGTGAAACACTACTATTCTGAATTAATTGGCACTTCATATTCACACTGTACTGACAAAAATGGCTAGGTTAGACACAGGGTGGTAGAGAAGCAGGGAGAAGCAGGCCTTTGAGAAAGAAAGAAAGAAAGAGAGATAGATAGATAGATTTAATCAGAGGCAATATAAATTAGATGATGAAATTCTCCACTTATGGGCATGATGTCTGTCAGACTCTTTCAAAATAACCTTATCAAAATATATCTGCTATTAACAGAAATTATGCAGGAGTGTAATTTCTTCTCTCTGCAGAATGAAGACATTTTAATGTAACATATTTTAATCAAAATAACCCCTTTAAAAATCTCCTCTCTGCCTTCTCTTACAGCTTCTGTGGTTTTGGACTTTTTGAGATTTTTCTTTGTTGGTGTTAGAGCCAGAAAAAAGCAATGGCAGCAGTATCTCTAGTGAAATAGGAATCATTCACATGTGTCAAAGCAGATAAAAGAGTTTTGATCACTTCAAACACTTTACCTAGGTATTTTCTTTAATTATAGAAAATGTTAGCTGCCATTATGTAACGGAAGAGCATGTGACATCCCTCAAAATCCTCACTCCTTTCCCCCAGCCCATTCGGATCCTAGGAAGAAGAAAAATTCTGTTGTAAAAAAAATGTAAGGAGAAAGAAGATTAAGAACCACTAAATAATATAAGAGTAATCCATTGGTTTGATTAGTGTTCAGGCCATTATTAGTGAAATAAAGACAGATAGCCTTATTTTCAAAGGCATTAGAACATGTACGAGTTCCATAGTCTTCACTTGATTTTACCAGCATTGCTCATCTCTGGACTTGACAAGCTATCCTATTAGGCATGATGGCTGATCTCTATTGGCCTCTGAGAGTGGGCCAGAGAGCGCTCTTTTTTTGACCCCTTTGGCAAGAATGAATGCTGGTCTCCTTAGAAAAACATACTCGCTGAATTTGGTGCTATCAGATTTGCTTACAGCTTGCTAGATCAGATAATTAACAAAGAAAAATATTCAGAAGAAAAAAAGGGGTGGGGGCATGCCCTGGTTTTAGCTGGGATAAATTTAATTTTCTTTCTAGTAGCCGGTATAGTGCTGTGTTTTGGATTTAGTATGAGAATAATGTTGCTATAACACACTGATGTTTTTACTTCTGCTAGGTAGTTGTTGTGTCTACACTAAGTCAAGGACTTTTCAGCTTCCCACACCCTGCCAAGTGCACAAGGAGCTGGGAGAGCACAGCCGGGACAGCTGACCCAGACTGGCCAAAGGGATATTCCCTACCATAGAACATCATGCTCCGGATATAACTGGGGAAACTAGCTAGGAGGTCAGAGAGAGAGATTTAACAGAAAAAAAAAAAAATAAATTGGAGAAGAAATACTGGGATTCTTCCTATCAATACCATTGCTCAGACACGGTTTTACGAAATCTTGAAAGCAGACACACACTTCCAAAGCTGCAAAGCCTTCAAGAACATGCCCACCCTGGGAAAGGGCTCTCGATATTGTTAAATACAGATAGAAGGAAACAAAAGTTTCACGGTCCTTTAGCAGGTGCTTCCTGCTCTGCTGAATAGAAGTTCTCAATTCCCTTCTGAAGCCAAGATGTGCACACACAAGAGCTAACAGCAAGAGAGATCACTGCTAACATGTACCACTGCAGAGAACTTAAATGTCCTGTCAGAATTGGTTATTTCTTCCCTTTAATACAGCTAAACATCACTTTTCAAGATATTTGCTGTGCAAGGTCAGCTTGAAGGTTGTCCTAAGCAGGAAAAACAAACTCAGGAGAGATATTCATATACACCAAGAGGAGAACTGTGTATTAAGTCAGCATAAAGAAAGGGGCCTTCTTCACAGACCCCTTAAAATGCAGAATGTTTTTATTCCCCTCTCTACTTCTTATCTGTGAGCACTACCTGACTTAATGAAGTGTCAGCATTTCCTTCTGCAGCTTGAATTCTCAGGGATCTATGACTCTATGATAAAAATCCAGTCCAGGCTGAAATAGGGCATACATGCTGAGGCTGCTAGGAACATTTTCCTGAGTTCTTGGTGCAAGATGCTTTTTGTTTCTCATTCTACTCATACTCAGACAATTGGGGTATTAATCTCTACTTAATTACATATGCAAACTGACTTTGACCACTTAAAAGACTCTTAACTTACTTTTCAGGGAGACTGTTGATATACTAAAGTCAGTAACATTAAAATGAAAGCATATAGAACCTGTACGCATTTATCTAGGATCACAAAGCACGTGCCAAACACCAGCTGGGTTTTTTTTAACCTATTTAACAGATGGAGAAACTGTGCATGGAGAAATTCCCCTGTTTAACAGGAGAATCTGATAAAAAGATACCTGCAGTCCTGCTTCTCAATTTCCCAAACCTCCAGATTGTTTATCTTCCAGACAACTATTTATATTAGACATTGATTTTAGCACATATCAGCATGTATATTAGATCATCACATAACAACGCTATGATAGCCTGAAGCATTTAGGGAAAGGTACTGGGTTGGTTTTTTTTAAAATCTATGACAATGGCTAGGTTCTGATCTCTTTGGCAACACTTGGATTTGAAAAGCAGAAGAGCCTGTTTGGCTTCTGTATTCTTCCAAGCTTATTTGCTCTTACTGGCCAAACACCGGCACAGGCTGCCCAGAGAGGCTGTGGGATCTCCAAGCTTGGAGATACTCAGACCTGGATCAGACAAGACCCTGAGCAACCTGGTCCAACTTTGAAGTTGTACCAAATGACCTCCAGAGGGCCCTTCCAACCTAAACGATTCTGTGATTTTATTCTCTGCCAGTTTCTTTGTATTCTATTAAATTGTTCACCTCAAACTGTGGTAAATCCTTGCTTTTTACTTTGTTTACTAATACAGAAAGTCAAGTGTAATTCTGCACTAGGTCTACCCAGGAAAGCAGACAGGAGGAAATTCTTGATTGCAGGAGAGATTTGGTAGCTTGAAGCATAGGTTATTTTTAACTAGTCTATTCCTTTGGCAGCAATTTCTTTTACATTATTGCACTGCATTTACTGGCAACAGACAATTAGAAGAAACTAATTCTTTTTAACCCCTATTTTGGCTACACTGCTGAAAAAGGGACAGTATGAATCACAGGACACTATAAGAATATTTGAATAATATTTTAAATGCCACAGTTTCTCATGCTCATGAAGACAGTGAAATGTCTTATGTGACGTCTCTTGTCAAGGTTACACACAAGACAAACAGGAAGATAACAGACGTAGAGAGCAAAATGGAAAGAGGTATTACCATTACTGTACCACTCTGACGCACAAAGAGACTTCTTAGATATATGCAAACTACTTCATTGATTAAAGGAGGATTGAGCAGAGGAACTGTGGTTACAAGACTCATGAATTTTAGCCTGACTGTATCCCTCAATTATCCTGGAATACAACCAAGAGATCTCTTTTAGGCCAAGGAAAGCCTGAGAAAAGCTGAAAGAGTTGGAGTTCAGCCTGGAGAAAAGAAGGCCTTGGGAGACCTTACTGCGGCCTTTCAATACTTAAAGGGAGCTTATAAGAAAGATGGGGACAGACTTTTTAGTAGGGCCTGTAGTGATAGGACAGAAGATAATAGTTTTAAACCGAGAGAGGGTAGATTCATACAAGATATAAGGAAGATATTTCTCACAGTGAGGGTGGTGAAACACTGGAACAGGTTGCCCAGAGCGGTTGTAGGTGCCCTGTCTCTGGAAACATTCAAGGTCAGGTTGGATGGGGTTCTGAGCAACCTGCTCTAGTTGAGGACGTCCCTGCTCATTGCAGGGGGTTTGGTATAGATGATTTTTAGAGGTCCCTTCCAACTCAAACCATTCTATGATTCTGTGAAAAGCAGGAACTGAAGCAGAAGCAGCAAATACTCCTAAGATAAACACTCATTGACCTTGGAGGCTGCTACCACCTTCACTGTAACTTGATTAACCAAATTGTAAACCAACAGCCTTAAAAAAGAGATTCATCTAGTTCTGGTACAAGTCTTACATTGTAATGAGAATCTCTTCAAGAAAACCTTGTCTGGTAAAGTCCAATAGATCTGTCTCCTTTTGGATCAGCTGACAGGCTTACCTGAAATCTCTTTCTTCTCCTCCCTGTCCCCCACCTCCAAAAGATCTGGAGAAGGGAACTGAGAACAGAGATGATGTTTACTCTAGGAGAGCTCAGTTAGATATGTGACTGTAAACCTGTCCTTAGGATTTGGCAAAGAAGGACTCTGCTCCTTGCTGTAGAGCCCACCTGACACTGTGCTAGTATTTACTAGTACCTTATTGAGATCTGAAATACCACAACTGTCACTAAGCTGGGAACAGGAGGCAGCCACCATACCACTGACACAATGCTGTGAAAAGACTCTTGCATTACATTTGTCCTAGAAAGTGTGCTCTGTCTTTAAGACCAGGAAGTGACAGAAGACCAAGTTCAAGAAGGCAGAATTTCAATATGTCCTTAACCTTAAATCCCACAGAAAGCTCCGAGATTTAAATGCTTGCTTAAATTTACACTCACACTAAAAAGCTATCTGTATAGGAATGGATGTTAGCATGTACTTATATACTGCTCTCCCTCCAAGTCTGAATGTTAGGCTGTCTGCATGTGAAACTTGGCATCTTAAGCCCACAGGAAGAAGGCTTGGCATTATCTTTAGTTTTAATACAGCTCTTGTCCCTCCGTGGTGTTTCAGAATCAAAGCCCCTGTACTTAACCTACTGTTTAACATTTCTCTCATACCTTTCTTTCCACAGTATGTGGCATTTGCCTCCCTCTTCTTCATTCTGGTCTCCATCACCACCTTCTGCCTCGAGACCCATGAGAGATTTAACCCCATTGTGAACAAGACAGAAACTGAATTCATCGGGAATGACACCCAGGTGCGGCACTACAGGGAAGCAGAGACTGAAGCCTTCCTCACCTACATCGAAGGTGTCTGTGTGGTCTGGTTTACATTTGAGTTCTTGATGAGAGTCACTTTCTGCCCAAACAAGGTGGAATTTATCAAAAACTCTTTGAACATCATTGACTTTGTGGCCATACTGCCTTTCTATCTAGAGGTTGGACTCAGTGGCCTGTCTTCCAAAGCTGCTAAGGATGTCCTGGGCTTCCTCCGCGTAGTCCGTTTCGTGCGAATCCTGCGAATTTTCAAGCTGACCCGCCACTTCGTTGGGTTGCGGGTCTTGGGACACACCCTCCGCGCCAGCACAAATGAATTCTTGCTGCTCATCATATTTTTGGCATTGGGCGTCTTAATCTTTGCCACGATGATCTATTATGCTGAGAGAATAGGTGCTAAACCAAATGACCCTAGTGCCAGTGAACACACACACTTTAAAAATATCCCCATCGGCTTTTGGTGGGCTGTTGTCACCATGACGACCCTGGGCTACGGAGACATGTATCCTCAGACTTGGTCAGGCATGCTGGTGGGGGCCCTCTGTGCTCTCGCCGGTGTGCTGACCATTGCCATGCCTGTCCCTGTCATTGTGAACAATTTCGGAATGTATTACTCCTTAGCTATGGCTAAGCAGAAGCTACCAAAGAAAAAAAAGAAGCATATCCCGAGGCCACCCCAGCTGGGATCCCCCAATTATTGTAAATCTGTCGTAAACTCTCCACACCACAGTACTCAGAGCGACACTTGCCCACTGGCCCAAGAAGAAATTTTAGAAATTAACAGAGCAGGTAGGAAACCTCTTAGAGGAATGTCCATCTGACCGTTAACCTCCATCCCACGTAGTAATTTAAGATTCAGCCAGACTGCTTTCTTAGAGCAATGGGTAGCACATTTATCCATTCTAGTCCCACCATCACACAGTGAATAATATGTGTGAAGTCTAGGTTGCAGGGACAAATGGTACAGTGGAGGCTGATCAGCAAAACTAAGGATGAGAGCACGCTCTAGGAGCCCAAACTTTGGTCCTGGTTAAGGGCATACAAGTCTCAAGATATTTTGAAGAGCTGTTACATCTAGTGGAAGAATTTTGAGAGTTCTACAGCTATGTTGCTGGACTGTGTAATGCATCTCAGAGGCTCCTGAGAGCTGAATGCTTCATAGAGCAGAGTAGGAGCCAAGTACTCAGCAATTACAGAGTTTTCTGACAAAACAGGGCTGGAATTCGAAACAGCCAGATGCTTTCTCATTTGTTCCCATTTGGGACCTTTCAGCTGTTTTAAATGGCAGATATTATACATCTCATTACAGAAACTAGGTGCCTAGTAAGTTGAAGGGACAACTATACCATCATGCATATTCATGAGACAATCCCGTCTCTTTCTGATGATTAAGTGTGAAGTAGAACAACAGCTCAAATTCTTGACACTAATGCAAAATGACTCACTCTGAGACAAGACTAGATGTAAGGATGTTTATTCCATGGCATGCAAATCAACCTATTCTATAATATTCCACTAGAATTTAGCATTAAGAACTATGAAGAGTTTTGACATTTTCTAAAACATGCTCCTTTTGCAAGTATGGGTTGGTGAGTTACAGCTCTTTCAACCTTCCAGCAGCAAAGGCCAACTGGAAAAGGTCTGACTGGTCATCACTGGCCTGTTTGGCCTAAACAGTGATTGCCTCATAATACGGTATTCTTATTTTTAATTATACTGATTCATGTTAGCAATAGGTGAAACCAGAGCAAAATTAATCATACTAATTCTACTGGGAGGGGGGAGGGAAATGGAAAAAAATACTAGTCACCATGGAATATATTATAATATCCCATGGCTAGTGGTTAATTATGGGAATATCTCAGTTTTATGAGAATCTTCCTATAGCACATAAAGTTACGGGGCTCCAATTTGATTATTTAAACCCCATAATCTACCTCTACCCATGGAATATCACTATTTATTCTATGGAGTAATTTCAAAGTAGATAACCATGTTGAAAACAAAGCCAACTTAATTTTTGGCATATGATCCAGCCAAGTCGCATAGTAGACATTCTTCAGCCTATTCAGAATATCCCCCTATGTTGTATTAGATAGATCGCCAGTCAAGTGATTTTAACTGACATCTAGTCAAAAAGAGATGTTTTGAAAGAGCTAGCATATACCTATGATGGTCTTGTGTTATCATTTTTTTACTTTGAAGAAAATTCTAATTTGTTACTCATTGTGAGCGAGGTATTCTCTCGTCATCTCATAGCCATGCATGTTGATGTCATTGTGAGAGGCACAAAGAAAGTGAGACTTTCCTTTGTGTGTGACTTCACCAATGCCAATGCTAATTTTGGAGGGGAAGAGCTGGTGGGAACCTTTCTCTTCTATCCTATTCTCTTCTCTGTTTTCTTATTTCTTTTTTGTTTTGTGCAACTATGTAAAATCCATTCAGAAAGTAAATAGCTTTCATTTTTTTTGTTAAAGGCTATTCCATTGCAACAGGCCAATCACAATTCACGTGACTGATAGACTGTCTCTTTCCTCTTGTATCTTTGGCGCATAAGCGTATCATCCATTCCCCTCAGGTTGCAAATGCTTATCACAATTCATGTCCAAGCAGCAAACTTCCTCATAAGTAGATGTCTTTGTGACATCGTGTATGAAGAGGG